CGCCTGAACCCGAGAGGTGGAGGTTGCAGTGAGCAGAGATAGCACCATTGCACTTCAGCCTGGGCAACAGAGCGAAACTCCATCTCAACAAAAAAAAAAAAAAAAAAATTGAATGTTATTATTGGCCACAAATGGTGTTAGTTGTTTTCCATGAAGTGACATGACAGGCTCACTTCGTTCAAGCAAATGTCTGCTAAATAAATACCCCAGTCTGAATGACCACAGTCTGTTCTCATGTTCTCATTCTTTCTTTCTTTCTTTTTTTTTTGAGACAGAGTCTCGCTCTGTTGCCCAGGCTGGAGTGCAGTGGCACGATCTCGGCTCACTGCAAGCTCTGCCTCCTGGGTTCACGCCATTCTCCTGCCTCAGCCTCCTGAGTAGCTGGGACTACAGGCGCCGCCACCACGCTTGGCTAACTTTTTGTAGTTTTAGTAGAGACGGGGTTTCACCGTGTTAGCCAGGATAGTCTTAATCTCCTGACCTCGTGATCCACCCACCTAGGCCTCCCAAAGTGCTGGGATTACAGGCGTGAGCCACCGCACCTGGCCCTTCTCACTCTCACTCTGTCACCCACCTGAGTGCAGTGGTGCAATCTTGGCTCACTGCAGCCTCATCCTCTTGGGCTCAAGCAATCCTCCCACTTCAGTTTCCTGCATATCCAGGATTACAGATGCACACCACCATCCCTGGCTTATTTTTTATTCTGATTTTTTTGTAGAGACAGAAGTCTCACTATGCCGCCCAGATGTGTCTTGAATTCCTGGACTCTCCCAGCTCAGCCTCCCAAAGTGCTGGGATTACAGGCATGAGCTACTGCGCCTGGCCAGTTTTCTGTTGTTTTAAACCACAAAGTTTGTGGTAATTTGTTACAGCAGTCACGTGAAACAGATACAATAAGTATGCCACATTTTGTTTGTCTATTCACCAGGTGATAGACCTTGATTTCTACTTTTCGGCTACTGTAGATACTGCTGTTCTAAATATTCAAGCCTTTGTGTGGGTACATGTTCTCCTTTCTCTTGAATACCTACCTAGAAGGAGAACTGCTGAGTCGTCTGGTAAGCCTATGTTTAACATTTTGAGAAACTGCCAAACTGGTTTCAAAAGTGGCTGTAGCATTTTACATTTGACATGTATGGAAGTTCTAATTTCTTTTTTTTTTTTTTAAGATAGAGTCTTGCTCTGTCACCCAGGCTGGAGTGCAGTGGCATGATGTCTGCTCACTGCAACCTCTGCCTCCTGGGTTCAAGCGATTCTGCCTCAGCCTCTCGAGTAGCTGGGATTATAGGTACATGCCACCATGCCAGGCTAATTTTTTTTGTGTTTTTATTAGAGACGGGGTTTCACCATATTGGTCAGGCTGGTCTTGAACTCCTGACCTTGTGATCCGCCCACCTCAGCCTCCCAAAGT